TCCAAAGAGCAAATGGAAAAGAAGCTCAGAGAAAAAAAGCTTGAAAAACAAAAGGATGCCGCTGCAAGGTATGAGGCCCAGCGAAGGCAAGACCTAGAGATTCAGCGATCGTATCGGAACGCCATCGCGAGTAGTCAAGTGCCTAATCCAGGTGCGCCATCGACTTCGAAGGAAAAGGGTGGGAAATGACAACTGAGATGACGTTGATTGACAAGTCACTGGGAAATGACGCAAAATCAACCATCCTCGCCTTCGTATCGGAAGATCGCGTCTGCGCAACTATGCCAGCGTTCATAACCCACCTCGTTGCCATCAGTTGGCTCCTACAATTCCGGGGTTGTGTACTTCACGGCTGGAGTGTTTGACCTTGCTGAATGGACAGAAACTGAAATCCGCCAAAAGAAGTCTCGAAACGATAAAGCGATATGCTAGGGATTATACAAACAACCACTAAAGAACGGGTGCAACCTACCCCAGGTATTTGCCAACATCCATTTTTTGACGTGTGTATTAGAACTTTCACCCGAGGGCGGCTGAGTGTGTGCGGGCCCCAAGGGTGTGTAGAGCCAATGAATCTTCCTTGTTGGATTGCTGTCCCAGGTGTGTGTATATTTCAATCTACGACTTTCAAGTGCAAAGGATTGTTGGAAAAATGCTCAGTTTCAGATTCATGTCACAGGCCTCGAAGAAATATTCTTGTACAACTTCGTATCGCATAGCGAGGGATATTCGGGGATTTCAAATATTCAATGGACAATCTCATCTTCTCTCCTCCCCCCCTGTCGGTCCACAGCCTCGTCCTCCTCACTCTTTCTCTTCCAATTTTTGCACACCTCTCCTCCAACTCTCGTCATCGCCGCTTTCCCATTTTTAATTTAACTCTGTGCATTTTAATCATCGTTTCCATTACTTCTTCTTTTCAGTGCCCGTTCGCAACACCATTCTTGTCACCTTGCTCGCGATAATACGGCCTGGGCACATTGTCGTAGTAAGGCACGACGATCCAGTCCTTGTCGTCTGTCTTGCCGACCATGCCCTTTGTGACCTCTGTTATGGGATCGCGCGAGACGATGCAGTTGAGCAGGCCGGGCCGCCTTTCGCCAGAAGTCAGCTCCGCGAGGTGCTGGCGGACCTCGTCGAGCGAGGCCTGGGCGATGGCACCGCGGCAGTTGAAGCCCTGGGCGACGACGTCGTAGCGGCAGGATGGCGAGAGGGAGGAGACGGCGCGCGTGGGGTCCGCGTCAGAGTACAGCAGGTCCTGGCCCGCTACGGACATGCCCCAGAAGAAGTTATTGAAGACGACGGTCACGATGTTGAGATTGTGCCGCGCGTACGTGTCGAGTTCCTGGATGTGGAAGCCCGCGGACCCGTCGCCGTGTATATTGACGATCAGCCGGTCTGGGCAGGCAAGGGCAGCGCCCATCGAGTATCCCCATCCGTTGCCCAGGAAGCCCAGGTATCCCGTCGACACGATACCCGTGGCCGGGCGTGCGCGCTCAAGGTGCTCCATTGCCCACACGCCGGCCTCACCGCCGTCCATGATGACGATCGAGTCCGCCGGCACGGACTCCATGATCGTCTGCATCGCAAAGTACGGGTGCAGGCGGCCGTCGGGCCGCACGACCGCGTCGCCGGTGTACTGCGACGTCATGCCCTTGACAGCGTGGATGTCCTGGATCCAGGCGTCGTGGCCGCTGACTGGGTTGTTCTGAGCGTGCAACTTGTCCAACAGCGCGCTGATGAACTTGTTCGCGTCCGACACGATCCCCAGGTCCACGGCGTGCGACTTGCCGATCTCCCCACCGTCCAGGTCGACCTGGACGAGCTTGCAGCCCGAATTCGGGATGATAGCGCCCGAGCGGCCTGCGAGCAAAAACCCCGTGCGCGCGCCCAGCAACAGCACAAAGTCCGCGGCTTGCTGCTTCGCGAAGCGCACGCGGGCCAGCGTGCCGGAGTTGCCGCCTCGGAGCGGGTGGTCGAAGGGGATGGCCGGGGTGTACTTTTGCGAGTAGAAGACCGGGGTGTTTGTCGCTTCAGCGAGCTTGAGCAGAGGGCTCGTCTTGGGGGAATCACGGTTCGTGGTCCGCGCGGCGCCCGTGCCCACGATGATGGCCGGGCGACTTGCGGCCTTCCATAGCGAAATCAGCTCGTCGAGAGCCGCTGGGTCGGGCGCCGGGGACACCGCGGTCGGGCGCATGACGGAACCGTAGGCCAGGGCGCTCATTCTCGGCGGGTGGAACAGCACGTCGATGGGGAAGTCGACCACCACGGGGCCGGGGATGCCTGACATGGCCGTCTTGTACGCGTAGCTGACGATGCGCGGGATCTCCTCCACGGTCGTTACTCGGTGCGCGAACTTGGTCAGCGGCTTGGCCAGGATCACCTGGTCGTGGAATCCCTGCAGGCAGTTCGTCTCTGCGTCGCGCAGCGGCGGCGACGACGTGACCATGAAGATGGGCGAGCGGTCCGCAAAGGCCGTGGCCAGGCCTGGGAGAGAGTTGCAGAACCTGTACAACGAACCGGCGAGACTTTGTCAGCGTACTTGCTCTTCTTTCGGACTTCGTTTGTCCCACGTCACATATGTACAGATATCTGTACATGTGAACAGGGACCATTCTCACTCCTAATATATGTTTTGGGCTCCAGATTCGAAAACATACCCGCTGTTGGCAGTGACGAAGCAGCATCCCACCTTGCCCGAGAGTTTGGCATATCCCTCTGCCGCCTGGACGGCCGTGGCTTCGTGTCGACTGTCGATGAGCCTGATGCCAGCCAGTTGGCAACCGATCAAGAAGGCATCGAGGTGGCCGCCGTGGAGGCCAAACGAGACCTCGACGCCCAGTTGGGCCAGACTCTGAGCGACGAGGTCGCCGCCGAGGAAGTCTCGCTTCTCGGGGATTTTCCACTTCAATTCCTGGTCTGAGGAGGCCATGATGGCTGGATTGTATGAGGTATAGTGTGTGGTAGGCACGGGGGGGGGGAAGGGGGGAGCGGGCTTTCCCAGTGATGGTTTTTCAGGCTGAGATGGGGAACATATAAAAATCTAGTACTGCATTTTATTTACTTTACCTTGGAACGGATGGACTCTTAAGACCTACCTCTCCTCCTCGCTCTTATGTGATAGATATCCGTAGAGAAGAATCTCGACCACCCTGTGGTCTTACTCTTACTCAGGCATCCTGAGTCTCATCCGATACGAATGGGCGTCTAGCGACTCGAGTCAAGCCCGTTGACCAGAAGCAAGTCGGTTCGGACTCCCATCAGCTCCGCGAAATCCATCTGCGGGGTCTGAGATGCGACGAGATGGCCTGACTCGTTCAAAACTGACTGTTGATTTGGCCACAGCTCTGCTCGTGGCGTGCTTCCTTCCGAGGTTGGGTCTCGGGACGTTGCAAGCAAGAAAGGCCCGAGAAGATCTCAATGCGGGGGAAATACTCCATACTCGTTCTCGATCTGGGGAGGTCCAGCTGTACAGTCACCAAAGTCCCACTAAGCTCCTTGAGGATCCTACAGGGAGGACACGGGAGTAGAAGCAATTTCTTGATAAGCCCGCTAGATTTGGGAGAGTCTGGCGGAGTGGAGACTTTTCAGATTGATTTGGAGTGACCACGATCGATTTCGCGTCCGTTGGTAAAGCCACTTGGTATCGGAGTGGGCTGGTGGGCAAAGCTGGGCGACCGAAGCAGCAATCATGGCACCGCCCATCGTCCTCTTCACCTACGACATTTCCGTCTTTGGAAGGAAGATGGACTGGTACTTTGCATTGAGCGGATTGAAGTACTCTCACTGCACTGTGCTGAACCGACTCCCGCGTCCCGTCCTCGAAAAGCTCGGGATACAGTACAGACGCATCCCCATTCTCGCCATCGGACGAGACATATACTGCGACACGCGAATCATCATTGACAAGCTCGAGGAATTATTTCCCGAGTCGAGGATAGGAGGCAAAGGCGGTCCCTTTGAGAGGGGCCTGGGCCACCTGTTCGAGAACTGGCTCATCGATGGAGGACCGTTCTGGAGGACGGCCGGCTTGATCCCACCGACCGCCGAAGTCATGCACGACAAGGAGTGGCTTCAAGACCGGGCCAACATGTCCGGGAGGACCTTTGACATTGAGACGCTGAAGCAAGGTCGGGCAGAGTGTCTGTCCCACGCGCGCATGTACTTCAACATGATGGAGAACGAATTGCTCGCCGACGGGCGGGAATACCTCCTAGACACCCCGGAACCCACGCTGGCAGACATCCACGGTATCTGGACTTTCGACTGGACGCTTCAGGAGAAAATGCACATGCTCGAGTATCTTGAGAAAGACGTCATCAGTGCCTCAGAGTTTCCAAAGACGTTCGCATACGTCCATCGTTTCCGGAAAGCCATGGCCAAGAAGCAAGAGCAGAACGGCGTGCCGGAGGAGCTGTCGAGTGAGGAAACCATCGAGAGGATTCTCGCTTCGGATTTCTTCGAGCCAGAAGGCTCCGTCGACCCGCTTGATCCGCTGAGGCTGAAGAAAGGCCAGATGGTGGAGATCTGGCCGGTCGAGTCTGGGTTCACGCATCACGACAAGGGCGAATTGGTCTCGATAGGAGTCAAGGAGGTGGTGATTTCGAGTAAGCCGAATGTGGGCGAGGGACGACTTAGATTGCATTTCCCCCGAGTCAACTTTAGCATCCAACCGTTGGTGGAGTCGAAGTTATAGTCGTATGGCTTCTGAGGGCCAGAGATATTTTGAGGTCGCAGTATAAAGTGGATTGTATGTGTGCTCAGTGACCGAGCTTGAGTTGCGATAGGCATCACAGAGACTTTGTCATCGATCTGCCATAACATCAGTTTTCTTCAACAGTATCCAGATACACGAGACCGTCTCGAGCGCCTGGGACTGATGCCCACGTCTATTTAACAATGCAATCTTTCGGCATGATTTTTTACATTGCCCTGCCTTTCCCATCTAGTATTACATTCGAATTACCTAGCACGGGCGTGAAAATTGCTCCCAAAACCTTTCACCATGCTGTATACCCTTCATCAATAACGAGCTAGAAGGGGAAGTTAGGAGGCGCTCTCAACTCTGAAATAGGAACACCATAACTCACATTCGAACCAGTCATAAAAGAACTAGCATCGCTCAGGCAAAATAAGGCGGCGCCTCTGTATTCCGCAGGCGTAGATATCCGTCCCAGCTTTTGAGTCAAGGGTGAGTGATGGTTTAGGAACAGGAACAAAAGAGCGGCAACCCTACCATGTTCTCTTTCTCCCAAAGCTCTCTCAACTGAGGATCGTCCTCAAAATTCTTCCGAACCATGGGTGTCATGATATTCCCTGTGAACCCAGAAGAGGGTGGTAAGTAACCTGGGAAGGCATGAAAAGCGCATAGAGCATTGACTCGGATGGGCTTCCCATTCACAATCTTTCCCCACTCCATCGCCAGGGACCGGCTAAGTTGTATGACGGCTCCCTTGGAAGAATTATAAACCGACGAAGTGAACCCTTTGTTGGCGACCATCCCGCTGATGGAGCCAACGAGTAGAATAGAGCCACTGCAGTTGTATTTGATCATTTGCCGAGCGCAACTGACAGCTGAGCAGAAGACCCTTTTGTAGTTGATATTCATCATCCCCTCGATCTTCTCCGGCGTGTAGTTCAAGGCGGGCGTCACATTCTGCACTCCAGCGGCCGCAACCAAGCCATCCAGTCGATTATGGTGGGCGGCAATCTCCTCAATAACCCTGTCTAGATTGCCTGCCTCGCGGACATCCACCTTGTCGTATTTCAAGCAGCCTCCATACTTGGGGCCCAGGCGTGGGCTCGAGACTAGATTAAAGGCATGTTGCAAAAGTAACGGCAGCTATCGCTTTCCGGGAGAAGCTGAAACTTCGGTAAGTTGAAACCCCGAACGGTGCTGTGGTAAAAGAAACAAGAAATTCTTGCTACAAGGACGAGGATCGCCGTAATGGCATATCCATTCCCTTATATGGGACGTGAAACCCAACACATCGACATTCTTATAGGCTTCATGGCAGAAGTGACGTTAGCGGGCAAGAAGGAGCGGGGTTACCAAACATACACATGCAACATACGCAACATACCCACAGCTGCGTGGCAAAGATAGAAGCTCTTCCGCTGCTCGACAACACTGATGAGAGGAGTTGGTCGTTGACACACACAAAGACCATGCCATTGAGAAAAAGACGTTTTATCTTCTGACGTTTTTTTTTATAACGCTGATATCATTCCCCAGTTTTAATACTGGATCGCCGGCCCCTGTCGCGCAGCAGCAGACCTGCCAGGTTTCCCTCCAAAGGGCCTATCGGATGTTTTCATGTCTGGCCTGCGACGTCTGAATGGCCGGAACAGATTTCTGGGTCGAGGGTGGGTTCGTGGCCTCTTGATTTGCACTGACGTTGATGTGTTGATAAGCTGCCCGGATAGCTCTTCAGCTTGTTCCACTCATTGGGCAACCGTTGCTGTGTCGTTGCACAAATGCCATTGAAGCTCTGCCGTCCTCACGGAGACACATTTTCTTGGGTCAAGACCTTGGTCACCCGAATACAGTAACCCGCTCCGAGGGCCGTCAGGATATGCCACCATCCGTGCAGTTCCAGGGCAAAGGCAAGGGGAATGCCCAGCGATTTTCTGGTCTCCCGAAGAGCACCGCAATAAGCTCCATCGATGACCCACACGACGAATCCCATGAGGAAGCACAAACCTCCCACCCGAAATTGTTTGGTCCAATACCGCTTTTTCTCGCCTTGGAATCGCGTTCGGATTAGATATAACACCCTCGGCCAAATCGCCGTGACCAGAGCGATGAACGTGGTGTTGTGCAACCACAACTGATGGAGCGCAAAATGGTAGGCACTGATGACCCCGAGAACGGCGGTCAGGATCGAACCGAATGTCAACTTTGCTGGCTTGGACCAGCCGAGGGTGTAGAGCTCGTATACGAGGGCGGCACAGACCCAGAACATGGACAGGTCGTCACAAACCTGGGTCTCATATTTCAGAGTGAGATGGAAAACCAGAGAGAAAACTCCGACAAAGAAGAGGGCAAGATTGGAAGGTTGAGTGAAAAGGGACTCTCCGGGTAGCAGAGTCCGAAATGCCCAGTACACTGAAATACGAGTATTAGCTGGAGTTGCAGAAAAGGGGCCCTCATATCATCGAGACGACGCACCGTATGCAAGATTCGTGAAGCTGTTGACGAACTCGCCGATGTAGAGAGTGATGGCGTAGTCTTCTTCACAGAAGCTGCGAGCGAAGGTCGGTCAGTCATGAAGCAAGCCACCATCGCCACTTCTTGAGCGAAGAGAGCTTTACTCACTTGGCGACGGACGTTGGAGGACCCCAATATCCCAAGTGCGCCTTGTGGTCGCCCGCGAAATTGCGTTCTAGACCCATTGAGCGTGTCAAAGTAGTCGTAGGGTGTGCTTGGGTGTTATAAGGGGGGAGCTGTTTATCCTCGACTCTAAGCAGAACAAAAGAGACCAAAGTGTCGAATCTTAAAGGAAGTAATGAACCAGGCAGAAGGATTTCTTATCCACCAACGCCACGTATACACAAAGATAGACAATTAAGCCGTTTGAGGAGAAATATTCATTTCTATAGAGGGAAGCTCAGGAAGATTCGAGGATTCGTTTCCCACCAGTTGCCGGCGCCATGACTGAGATTAGCCGACCGCTTCGTACCGAGTACTATACTCAGTATGTCGACTCGTACTTCGTATCTCGTTAAACAGCCCCGTCTGACAAGCAGCCATCAATCAAAACTGCGTATAGTTCCTCCTGTTACTGTTGTGCGATCTTGCCAAGAACTATTCTTACATCTTCATGTCAACAATACGTGGTACGCCTGGCCCAATAGGCAAGTCTGTGGACTGGGAGCCATGATACAACAACTACCCAGTACTTGACTAACAATGCAACCCCCGGCTCCATGGCAGAGCTACTTGAGCATGACCCGCAAGCCCTTCGAGTCGACAGCTGGAAATGGAGAAAAGTAGTCGTGCTCAATCTCAATATCCTTCCGCGTCGTCTCAAAAATTTCGGCATCGAATTGATGAAAGAAACTTGCAATGGTCAGATAAAGATTCATGATTGCCAGCTCTTTGCCGATACAGCTCCTTCCTCCACGTCCGAAAGGAACAAAGTATTTCTCTAGCCTTTTCAGCTCCTCCCCCTCCACCAGCCACCGTTCTGGCTTGAACGACAATGGTTCGGGATACACTTGCTCAAAGGTATGATTGCTTCGGATTGCCATGCTGATGACTGTGCCTGGAGGCAACACGTACGGTCCGTAGGTATACGCTTGTCGAGGATTCACCCTCGCAAGTCGTCCTGAGACGCTGCATGCGATTCGCAGCCCTTCATTGATGATGGCGGTGAGGTAAGGCAGGCGTTGCAGCGTGCTGTAGTTAGTCAAAGGATCTTCCGTACCCTTTGACGACTCTACTGCACGGGCCAATTCTTCCTTCAGACGTCGAAGCTTTTCTGGGTTGGCGAGAACGTGGAATGTAATGGTCTCCAAAGCATTTCCTGTTGTCTCGCTTCCAGCACCCACCAGTGTCCGCGCTTCTTGGGTTATTCTATCGACAGTCTTGTCGCTCTCCGGAATAGCGTCCGAGTTGATAATTCCATCAAGCACGGATTTGTCGCTTCGCTTCTCGGCATGAACGGCATCCGCCGCCTGTCGCGCCAAATCCTAAACGTGGTCAGTCCCCGGCTACAAAAGAACCTCGGGCGGAATTACCGTCTGGAAGTCAAATGCCATCACTCCCCCTTCAGTTGAGGTAGCTGCGACAAGCCATCTGGGCATCCGCATGAATATAGGGATGATGATTGGAATGTGACGATGCCACACGGCAATGTGGGAGATAACACGAGCCTGCCGGTTGTAGTCGTCGGCAAAGTCAATTGAATCAAGCAGATTGAAGGCTTTCGGCATGCAGCTGCAACTTGTTAGGGTGGTTGTTCTTGTGCAGCCTCTGATCTCCAGGGGAACTCACTAATTGGTGACAGAGTCGGCGGCGAGGCAGCGAAAGGCATTGGAAAGATTGACGGGCTTGCCCTCGTCACGCATATTCCTCAGCCGTTGACAGAGCTTGGATACTTTTTCCCGCGAAGATGATTCCAGGTTTGAAATGGCTGAGGCTGCAAAGAATCGACTCATTGCTTTTCGCCTGGTGCGATGGAGGTCGACATTGGCGGTACCGAAGCCAGCATCTTTCGACCCAACGAAAGCATAGTACCATGCGTCTTTATCGAGACGGCTAGTCACATTGTAGAACTCATCGAAAAAATCCGGGTCATGGATATGGACCTCGTTGGGTCCTATCCGAACAATGGGACCTGCAAACTAGTTGGTAGCCGCCGAAGACCTACTGTGAAATGGCTTACCATATTGTTTATGGAGTTCTTCGATCTTGAACACAAATTTTCCTCCCTGAATGCAATCATAATAGAAGTCATAAAGGCGCGAGATCGCTGCAAGTTTGGGTCCAGGAATCTTCGAGAGGGGGTGAAAGAACAAGCGATAGATCACGACAACCGCAAGGCCACCCAGGCATGCGCATGCCAATGCCCATAGGACAGCAGGATTCATGTACGAAATGAGTGCCATCTTTAGGCTGCGGTCACAACACGCACTATCCCTAACTAGAGCACACCTCTGAAAGCATGTCGAGTATAAAGGACAACAGAAGGTTCTTGCGGAACAGTTGAAATTGTTTTACCCCCAAATCGAGTGGACGGAGTGGTTCACAGTTTGGGCGATAGCGAGCGCTCCTGAATACGCCATGGATCCCCATTTCCGAGACAGAAGGACACAAAAGCGAACTGCCTATCTTGGGGTTAAGGCCGGGAGGAAGGGTTGCTCTGCAGATTCTCGCATAAGGACAGGGGGTTGTGGTCAGAGGAGTGGAGGGCCGCAGTAGGTTGCTGCCAGAAGATGGTTAGCTTTGTCTGACAGCGGAAACAACAACAATGGGCCGGCGATCTCTTTGCCGACAGTCTGACACCGTCCAGAAGGGCGATGGGTATGGATGGTGATTGTTTTGATGTGCTTTTCAAAAGGGCCACAGCGAAATGGAGGAGACCGTCAGCCCAATAACAGTGACAATCACCAGGTCGCTCCCTCGGAAATGGCCATACCGAGGGGGAAGTACGCGGAGCCACGAGATACCTGGCATGGGTCCTTTCGGAGGCACAAGTCCCGATCTCAATTCGTTGGTGAGGTGGTTGGTTGATGGATCATGGTGGTGGTAGGTGATGGTGGTGGACGTTGCAACAGTTTGAACTGGCTATGTGCGCCATGGTGGTGCTTGTGCTGCGCACCCGCAGGCAACGTACATCCGCGCCTGCAACCTCGCCCAACACCATCACTAGCACCATCCCCATCACCACTACCACTTGCCCCGCTACTCACAAATCTTGGAAATCAAAAGTCCTTGTGCGAAGGAGGAATGCTTCGCCATGGACCTAGGTACTACAGGAAGGCTAGGGGGCCCCTAGACCTCCCTCGAGGCGCCTCTTGTGCGCTGTCACCCTTGCCGAGCTGCCATCCCTCAACTTCCACCTATGCAAACGAGATGCATCTTTCTGGCTTGGGATGTTGGATGGTTGTCCACCCATGGCCGGGAGACTATCTCTTCCAGGAAAAAGAAAACTACTCACCCGCATGTGGGACGAAGAAGCCATGTGCTTTGTGCTCACCACTAGCGACTGCAGCCAGCTATGGCGTTACTCAATCTCTCTCATCCGTTCTGCCTACGAACCAAGTCGATTCAACCATCTAGCGCCGCTACTCACGCAAACTCTCTGGAAACTCAATCGACAAAAACGCCATTGTGCCATGCAAGTTCCCCACCAGGTGGAGGGTCGACAGCCCGGGGTGATCTGTCTGTTCACAACCACACCTATGTACAGTGACGCCCATGACGGCGAACACTGGAGCAGCGACCTTGTCTGGTCGGTGCTTACGAGCCGTCGCGTTAAGCTGCCTGTTCATCACCTTCAGTGGTGTGAACGGCTTTTCATTCGCCCACTGTTACTGCTTATCCATCAGCCATCTTTTGGTGGAGACGGCATGCCTGAGACCAAGAGCGCTCAGGACCTGGTACCTGGAGGCCCGCATCGGTGTGCAGGCTGGGATATCTGGCCTTGGTCTAATATATTCGTTCTGTCTCGCTTTTCCGCTCATGAGATCTGCTCATGGTTGCATACGGGACATTAGCACCATGAATCGAACTTCTTCGGAGCCTCGAATCACGGCCCATTGAGCATCAGTTCTCTATGGCTGACGACGGTGATGCCGATTCTGCTTATGCCGAGAGCATAGGCGCCTATTCCGAATGTACTTCTGTATCTTCGAGCGCTTTCGACTTTCAGTACGAAAACGGCCGCCGGTACCACTCCTACAAGGCTGGAAAATATTTCGCTCCCAATGATGAGCAGGAGCAGGAAAGACTCGATCTGCTCCATCATGTCCAATCTATGGTTCTCGGGGGAGAGCTGTACAAAGCACCAATTGAGGCCCCCCAACGCATCCTTGACATAGGCACCGGGACAGGGATTTGGTCGGATTAGCCTGTATTCCCAAAGGTGATTTTCCAAAGCTGATTTCTCACCCAGGGCAATCCAAATTGCCGACACTTTCCCTATGGCAGAGGTTGTCGCTACGGATTTATCTCCGATTCAACCGACTTGGGTCCCTCCAAATCTGGAATTCCTCATAGATGACTGCGAATCAGAGTGGGCTTTTGAGCGCAGTTTTGATTTTATACGTCTTGGACATATGGTATGTTGATTTGTTGATCCTCAGTCCCCTTAGATGGTCAGAGGCCTAGTCGAATGAAGGAGCAAGTCATTAACAACACTATGATCGGGACCTAACTTGCTTGGAACCACAGGGTGGTAGTATAGCGGACTGGGAAAAGCTATTTCAACAGTGCATGGAAAATCTCAAACCAGGAGGATGGCTAGAAGTCATCGACTTTGAAGGTGACCGAGTAAACTCTGCACCCACGGGACAACTATTGACCTGCGCACAGCATGGGGCAGCACAGACGATAATAGTCTCCCAGATCATTCATACTGGCATAGGGTAAGATTTGCCAGCAATAGAGCCTGTACACAGCAGCTGAATCTAACGTTCTGTCCCAGTGGCAAACCGAACTCAGCCACGCGGCAGAGAAGTTCGGCCGTATAATGAATATAAGCCCTCAAATCAAAGGCCTGGTGGACCGAGCAGGGTTCCAAGATACTGTCCACGAGGTCCACAAGGTATGATCGCATCTCTGTTCGCGGAGATTTCTGACGAAGTTGTTCAGGTTCCACTGTCTCCATGGCCCAAGGAGCCTCGTCGGAGGAGTCTGGGTATGAATATGAACGCGATAATGACCGAAG